CGAACAAAAGCTCGTTCGAGCTCGTTCGTGTTCGACAAAAGCTCGTTCGTTTATTAATCGAGTCGAGTTCGAACAGAAAATTAGGCTCGTTTAATAATCGAACGAACACGAACTCGTTCGTGAACGTTCGATTATGTTCGCGAACACTAAATTAATATAATTTTATTTTATTTTATATATATTTATATAATATTTTTAATAAAAAATCTAAAATTTAGTATAAATTTATTTATTTTTTTATATATTCACATAATATTTTTAATAAAAAATATAAAATATAAAAATATTTTTATTTTGTTCTTTTATTTTCGAGTTCGAACGAGCTCGAACGAACAAATTTTGAGTTAATTAAACATAATTACAAAGTTTATGCATTAAATTATTCGAACACGAACGAACTCGAACTTTTACGAACAATTAAACGAACGATCTCGAACACGATTTTTTGCTCGAAAAATAAACGAACGAACACGAACACTGTTCGAACGTAAACGAACACGAGCTCGAACAGCCCAAGCTCGGTTCGGTTCGGTTCGTTTACAACACTACAATATACTAAATATACCTCGAGTTTGAGTCACTCAATGACGGAAGTGGAAACTACTATTGATCCTATTTAAAAAGAGGAAGAAAAAAATAATAATTATATATTAAAGTGTCGGGGTCATACAATGTAAAATTATTTTGTATAAGATAATATAAATTTTATATTATTTTGTATAATAGAATATAAAATTTGTATGTTTAATATTAAAAACACTTAAAATATTATATTAGTATATGTAAAAGTATTCAAATTTTCTATATTATTTTTAAAAGATATGAAGTCACCTACAACTTTTCTAAACAATTTTAGAAAGAAAACATATCTAAAAACATTTGAATTTAACATTATGTAAAAAAAAATTCTAGACTATTTTGTAAAAAAAAGCATGTCTACAAATAATTAAATTTAACATCAATTATGTATATGTGTATATGTGTTATATAGACGAATAAATAAATAAAAAAAACAAATGTCTAAACAATTTGTTTAAAATAACTAAATATTATAAGGCTAATTTAATAAATACCTTCGGTCAAAAAACAGGAAAAAAAATCAAATATCTACACATTAAATCAGATATAATATTTCGAAATTTCTACCTAAAAAGAGTTTAAATGAAAAGGAAACAAATCTAACACAATATCTATTATTTGGTTAACCTAAAAAACAGGAAAAAGAGAAACATCACAAAAACCACCGCATGTATTATTTTGTTAACCTAAAAAAATAAGAAAAAGAAAAACATCACAAAAATCAGTGCGCGATTTTTTTTGTTAACACTATATCAATGTTTATTTAATGATTGTAGAGGAAAAATAATGATTTTAGCGGGTATTTAATGATTTTAGAGGGAAAATAATGATTTTGGTGGGTATTTAATGATTTTGGAGGGAAAATAATGATTTTGGCGGGAAATCATAAAAAAGTTATTCTTTTAATATAATGATAGATTTAAAAACATATGTGCATGGGCATAAGATTGAATACTAGTTTTTGGTAAAAATAAGAATTTTAAGTGGGATTTTTTTGATTATTTAAGATAAACCTTTAGGGTGTGATTGTATATGATTTGTACAGTAAATATCTCACTCAAAACTCGAATTTAACTCAACTCCACTATCTTCAATATTATCAATATAATTAATAATATCAACCAATCATTATTACGCATCAAATCAATTTTAATTAACTATTCACCCACTCACATAATTTTAACTAACCATCACTTCCAATATTTTTTTTCTACTTTTATATCATATCAATTTAATTATTTTAATTTAAATATTAACAACTAACCATTCTACTTTTTTTTTTAAAACTTAACTATAGTTAGAAAAAAACTAGTTTTTTTTTTTTTTTCTAGTTGAATTTAAATTTAATCACCCCCTTAGCCTTTTTATATATTCATTAATTGAAATTAATAGGTAGACTCTCATGATTATAATAAAAAATAGATATAATCAGGCAAAATTGCATATGACATCACGACCTTATCGACTTTTGCGCTCCTGTCACGACTTTGGGACCTTGGCATTTCGGTACCCAACCTTTTGTTTTTTTTTGCAAAACGAAGCATTGACCTGGTCTTCGGCCGACGAATGCCAACATGTCCGGCAATTTAATTAACGCGGCAAACATTTCTCTGGCAAAAAAAAAAA